TGCTCTATACCATGTGAAGAAATGAGGAATGAATGAACTAGGAAACAGTTGGGTACAAGTAGGAAAACCTAGAAGTGTTGTACCCCGTATTGTCTAACCCACTACAGACTACACAGACTATAGCATATAAGTTTGACACTCCCCCCTCAGGGTCCTGCCCCCTCAGGTGTGTCCCAGGTAGACGCAGTCGAGCCTGTCGAGGTAGCTGTTGACTCTGGTGCTGCTAGGGGTGCTGAGCCTGCGGGTGCCGGGTCTGGGGGTGCTGAGCCTGAGCGTGCGGAGCCTGGGGGTGCTGGGTCTGGGGGTGCTGAGCCTGAGGTTGCTGAGTGTGGGGGTGCGGAGCCTGCTGGTACTGGACCTGGAGGTCCTTCGGGTGCTTCGTCCCGGCGGGAGCTACCCTCTCCACAGGAGCTGCGCGAGTGGTTTGCTCGGCGCTGGAGCCGTGCTGCTGGAGCTGGTGGTGCTACCGGTGCTGGAGGTTCTTCTGCTGCTGGGGGTGCTGGAGCCACGGGTCCCGGAGGTGCTCGTCCTGGAGGTACTGGAGCTGCTGGGCCTGGTGGTGCTCCTGGTGCTGGAGCTGCTGGCGGAGCTGGAGCTGGCGGTGCTGCTGGAGTCGGTGCTACTGGAGGTACTGGAGCCGGAGCTGCTGCGTCTTCCGGTGGTCCTGCTGGAGCTGGTGCTGCTGGCGGTACTGGAGCTGGAGGTGCTGCTGGAGCCGGTTCTCCTGTGGGTACTGGAGTTGGCGCTGCTGGAGCTACTGGAGGTGCTGCTGGTGCTGGTGGTGCTGCTGGGGTTGGAGCTGACGCTGGGGGTGCTGGAGCAATGCGCTTATGCCCGATCCTCAATTATAAGCGCACCCCCTTAAAAAACATGACTTATTATAAGCGCATGTTAGTTTTAAAATTGAAAAACTGTCAAATTACTCTAACGAAGTTCACTTTAGGAGGCGATGTGTTGAAAATCAGATTTCCTTCGCCTTCAAACCCTGCACAGGCTGCGCGTCCAGTCAGCAAGTGCTGTCAGAAGCTCCTAGTTGTCAGAATAGTGAAGGAATTAATGAAACAGGAAATAGGAGGTTCACTAGCAGACAGTTGAGTACATATAGCAAACCCTGAATTGGGCTGTACTCGCTATAGAGTACCCCACTGCAGGCTAGATAAATATAACATTCCCTGCCAAGTAGCGAGAGTTTTTCACCCACAACCCTGTTTCAAATCGACTCTGTCAGAGGTCCACTGGTGATCCTCGATTGATCCTAGGGAAGGGTTACAGGCTCGTTGTCCTGGGGGATTATGGGCGCACTGACCCGCTACTTAATAAGCCCTTTTATCCCAGTGGTCTAGTGGTTGGGATTCTGACATGGTATCAGAGCGGTCTCGGGTTCGAATCCCAGTGTGTGCACTTCGGGCATCCTAGTGCGGGGGGGTGTCAGAGGTCCACTGGTGATCCCCGATTGATCCTAGGGAAGGGTTACAGGCTCGTTGTCCTGGGGGGTTATGGGCGCACTGACCCGCTACTTAATAAGCCCTTTTATCCCAATGGTCTAGTGGTTGGGATTCTGACAGACTCGATTGGGTGCGCAATGACGCGAACTACATTTTCGTGCTAGTAGTTTAAAATTATATATTTGTCATTTTATAAGCGCATGCGCTTATATTTTCACTCAATTATAAGCGCACCCCCCTGAAAAATCATGTTTTATTATAAGCGCAGGTGCGCTTATATCCAGGGTGATACAATTCTTGTCAATGAGAGCTTTGAGGCGGTATGCAACGTCTTTCATGTCAGGGCGCCGTGTGCCTGGGGATTTGACGCAGTCAAGAGCCAGATCGGCATAGTCAACAATTGCCTCCTCACTCGCGTGTAGCTTGCCGTCCTTGAGATCTTCCAAGTGATATGCTTCCATTTTCTTCATGGCTTGTGCAATGGGTGTGTGTAAGGAAGAGTGGTGTAGAGGGGCAAGGAGGTGAATTTTGAGTGGACTCAAAAGCCAAGTGATATGCTACCGATTTCTTCATGGCATGTGCAGTGGGTACATGTAGGGAAGGGTGATGCAGGAAGAGAGAGAGAGAGAGAGAGAGAGAGAGAGAGAGAGAGAGAGAGAGAGAGAGAGAGAGAGAGAGAGAGAGAGAGAGAGAGAGAGAGAGAGAGCATGATGGAGCGGGAATGAGGGGCACACCTGCCACCATGACGGATATGAATGTTGGTGCGGGGCGACAAAATTAGTCTGAAACGTGATGCAAGGAAACATCGTAAGGAGGAAAGGTAGAAACAAGGAGAGGTGGAAGAGAGGTGGAAGAGAGGTTGAAGAGAGGTGGAAGAGAGGTGGAAGAAAGGTGGAAACTTTATTTGAAGAGGACGAGGCAAGGATCAAATCTCGAATCCAACATGAGATGGCCATACCCAGTCTCTGATATGCGAGTGGCGATGAATATTGGGTGTCTTTCCAACCAGCAACTCCAAAAGCATGATGCCAAAGCTGCAAGCAGTCATCACGGCACAGAACAGGCCAGATATTATCAGAAACAAGTCATCAAAGCTGCAAACAAGTCTAAATAAACAATTCTCAGAAAACAAGTCTACACAAAGAAGCCTGTGCAGGAGCAAAAAGCCTCAAGGTAACAGGCCTCATGCTTAAGTTATAGTCTAGAACTTTACAACAGGCGATGGCCACCCCAAGGACATGTCTGTAACGGACACGTGACTTTTGAGTCGACTTAAAAGTAACAGACACGTGGGCTGCAGAGGCCTTACTTCCAGAGGCGTGGCCTTGCAGAGGCCTTGCAGAGTTGCTGAAGTCAAGGAACGGCTTATGCACACCTGAAGACGTCGCTCTTAGCAGTAATGACATTGGTGCGGTTGTAATCCGGGTCCACATAGCCCGGAGTGCCGGCCACTCTCGTGGCATCGGAGTCGCCATGAGTGAGGTGCTTGAGCATCCCGAAGTCAGCCACCTTGGCTTGCATATCGTGAGTCACAAGAATGTTGGTGGGCTTGATATCGCGGTGTACGATTGGTGTGTCAAAGCCGTGTAGGTATGCCAGCCCCTCTGCTGCTCCCTGTGCCAGTCGCAGTCGTTGCCTCAAGGAAAGAGGGCCTGGGGTAGATTGAGGGCACATGGACGGTGGTTTCATTCACCTTGAGTTGGATTAACATCTCTAGAGGCGAACAGAGAGGGTATATGAAAGCAAAGCCGAGGAGTTGGAGAAGTGAGCAGCAGAGAGGTCAGGTAAGAGCCATCTCATATCTCATTTGCCAAACGGAGCAGCAAAGATTCACCAAGATTCACAGCGCATCCCAGCAGCCAGCAACTCATGCCCAGACTTGTGAATGTGGTACTGCAAGTCTCTGTTGCCCACAAACTCGTACACCAAGATCTGCTCCTGCTTGCCCGTCTCCATGTTCTGATCCTGGCAGAAACCCAGCAGCCGCACCAGATTCGTGTGGTGGAGCAATGCCATGGCTCGCACCTGAATACGGGAGAAAGAAGTCCATGTGAAGAAACGAAAATGGTAAGTTTTGGGTTAGGTTAATGTGTTTTGTAATATCAAATTCCACCCCCCCTTCCCCCCCCCCTCCCGCCTTTTTTTTTGCTTCCATTTCTTCGACCAACAAGTGAGACCGAGTCTGTTGTGAGTGCAAATCTGTATGTAGCACCGAAGAGTGGATACTCACCTCTGTTTCAAACTCATTCGTCATGACAGTATAGCCCACAGCTGCCCCTGCCCTGCGGCGACACACCCTTGTACACAACACCAAAGCCTCCCTTGCCTAGCTGATTCTCTTTCGCCCAGTTGTTTGTCGCCTTCACCATCTCTTGCAGCGTGTACTGCTCACACACGTCCAGCCCCTCCCACTTCCCTGCCAGCACACATGGCATGCATGCTGAGCAAGTGAACTAGGGGAATGGCTAGGGCTGGGTTGGATGGAACCTATAGCGTCTGGTGCAGAGGAAGAGAATGGAGGGATAGATGGGTTTAGTGGTATTGCTTCTTTTGTATGCAGGAGGAGAGATGCAGGATACGGGCCAGCAGGGTTGGAGGTCTCACTCTGTTTGCGGGGCCACAGCACCCATGCGAGTATAATGGCCAGCAGAGTGAAGCCAGCAAAGCAGCCCACGGCTATGCCCACTATGGCACCTGTGGAGAGGGAAGAGACTGTTACAGGAGGAAGGGGAAGGAGACAGGTGAAAACAGCAGCAGATATAGAATCAGGTCAGCTGAGTGAAGCCAGCGCAGCCCACAGCAATACCCGCTATGGCTCCCGTGGAGAGGGACAAGACTGTTACAAGGAAAGGGGAAGGGTGGGGACAGCAGAATATAGAGTCAGGTTAGTGTGTCAGAATATAGAGTCGGGTTAGTGTCAGAATATGGAGTGAGAGTATACAGGGTGGGAGCAAAGCCATCAAAGCACCCCACAGCCATGCCCGCATAGAATATATAAAGCATCTCACGAGAATGCCACAAAGCATGGAGAGAGAGAGGGCACCCGAACCCCTCCTAGGGCAAGGAAGGTTTGGTTGGGCGCATGGAGAGAGAGAGAGGGTACATCCAGAAAGGGGCAAGGGGGGGTTCGGGGGTGGAGTGGGGAGGGAATGGAGGGAGCAGGAGGGTAGGAGGCGAGTAGAGAGGTCACAAAGGCCGTGGCAGGGCTGCTTTTGGAGAGATTGTTGAGTTTAAGGTGCGATAAATGCAGCGGGAAAATCAGTGCGCATGAAATGAAAGAACTGCAAGGGGAGTGGAGGGAGGCAGTGCGACAGTGTCACAGAGACAGTGTGAGAGAGGCAGTGTGAGGGAGGCAGTGTGAGGGAGACAGTGTGAGGGAGGCAGTGTGAGGGAGGCAGTGTGAGGGACCTATGGTGGTGGAGCTATGGCTCACCCTCGGTGGTGGTGGTGTTGACAACAGCACAGGTAGAGCCGTTGCAGAGGTCAACAGCGGAGACAGTGCAGGGAGTGCGACCGCATGACTGTGCAAGTGAGCTATGGTGGTGAACCGTGGAGTTATGGCTCACCCTCAGTGGTGGTGGTATTGACAACAGCACAGGTAGAGCCTTTGCCGAGGTCAACAGCAGAGTAGCCGTCACGACAGAGGCAGGTGAAGTTGGATGGGGAGGCGGGGGCAGGCGGCACACACTCCCCATGGCCGTCACACGGGCCGTTGTCCGTGATGCTGCAGAACGCCTGGCAGGCTGCCGTGCTGCGCTGGGTGGCGTTAGAAGGGCAGTCAGAATCCAGGCTGAGGGTCAGGCAGTTTCCCGCCAGACTCACCCTCGCGCCCTTCCCTGCCTCAGCCAATGAGTAATCTTTCTTGGCAGATATGCCGCTAATGCACTTCCCGGCCCCGTCACCAGAACTGGTATCTCCCAGCAGTAGGTTGTTGGATTCGGTGATTTCAATGGGGCAGATCTGGCAGCCGGCAGCAAAGAGTACGGCATCACCGAAGAAGAAGTTGTGAGCCAAGTTGATGAGGGCATCCCCATCTGCAACCATGTTTCTGAAGTTGCGGTTGATGCGCCCGTACAGGCTGTTGTTGCTCACATCGCTGCGGTGCGGTGTGGGAGGGTTGAGAAGGTGGTTATTATGGGAGGTGACTGGTGCAGCGCAGATCGTGCATGGGATGCTCCTGTGACACGTTGATGAGTCTATTTTAGAGTTGACTAAAAAATAGACTGTGACACGTTGCGAGATCCTTCTTTCTCTGATTATGGTGCAGATCGTGCATTGGAGGATTCTGTGACACGTTGAGTTGATGTGAGATCCTTCTTTCTCTAATTATGGAGCTGTTGGCGCTGATGTGATGTGACCTTGGCTGTGTTTTTTTAGAATTCTCAAAAAACACATGTGATGAGTCCTTGGCTGCATTTTCTCCTTCCTTGTGATCTGCTTGCTTCTATGTTGTCTCTAAACTGCATTGCGTGCTTTCATCTCGCATGCGTCCACGTAAACAGCATCCTGGCTGGTATTAAGTTGGGACCCACATCTGGTTCACACATTTGTTGAAGAGGCACTCTGGAAGGGGCCCATAGAGGCGGTTGTTGCTCGCCATGCTACCACCACACCAGCAGGCACATCACAAAAACACATTTTATCAAACATCCGAGACAGGAGACGACTTTTGAGGTGCCTCAAAAGCCTGCAGGCACATCAAGAACACCCTATATAGAGCACATGCAGTAAACACACGTGATAAAAGTTGTATTTTGAGACGTCTCAAAATACAACTTTTATCAAAAGCCTGCAGGCACATCAAGAACACCCTATTTAGAGCACATGAAGTAAAAACACGTGATAAAAGTTGTATTTCGAGACGTCTCAAAATACAACTTTTATCAAAAGCCTGCAGGCACATCAAGAACACCCTATATAGAGCACATGCAGTAAAAATGTAGGCAGGCTCTTCCCATAGGCATCACAGCAAGGGGAAGTGATGGCTCTGGGGAATGCGAGAACGGCTGTATGCAAACAGGTTTGTTGATGGAAGTGACACAGAATAGGGGGTTGAAAAAGGAAAAGGTGTTGGCTTGGGTCCATGTGAAGGGGTGACATGCGCCACAGCCAATCACATGCGCCACAGCCACTCACATGCGCCACAGCCACTCACATGCGCCACAGGAAGGGCAGCGCGCAGATGACAGATGGGAGAGGGCCCTCGATGCTGTTGTTGTCCAACCAGCTGAGAGGGGGGGGCAGGCAGGGAGGGAACGGCATGGTGCATGTGGGTATGGCAAAAGGGGTTGTAGGTTTCTGAATGACAGCATGGATCGATTGGTGACAGACCCAAGGACGCACAGCCATTCTAACGAGGTGACTTTTGAGTGACCGACTCAAAAGTCACCTTGGTTTCCTAATGACAGCATGGACAGATTGGTGACAGACCCAAGGACTCACAGCCAGACACACAGGTTGATGGACGGATGCAGGAAAGCATGGAGAGACAAGGGTAGACAGCAGAGGAAACACTGAGAGGCGGGGGCAGGCAGCAGAGAAAGAGAGAAAGAGAGGAAGAGAGGAAGAGAGGAAGAGAGGGGTCTCACAGCTGTTCCAGCTTCTGGAGTTGGCTGATGTCTGATGGCAGACTGCTGCTGAGATGGTTGTTGGCCAGATAGCTGTATGGGAGGGTCGGAGGGACGGAACAGCAGATGGATTTTGAGTTGAATCAAAGTCTTCAGCTGGCTGATGTCTGATGGCAGACTGCTGCGGAGATGGTTGTTAGCCAGATAGCTGAAGGGGAGGGCCGCAACAACAGGGAGCAACAGTGTGCGGAAGAATGGCCGGTTGGGATAATGTGTATGAACCACAACTGAAGGGGGTGATTGCTGGGCTGGTTCTTTTACAGCGTACGAGTGCTTTGTAGACAGATACTTGATATTAACAGGGAATTGAGACTCACATACATGGAATAGAGACTCACAGAGAATAGAGACTCACATGGAATCGAGACTCACAGGAACTTGAGATTGGTCATGTTGAATATGGAAGCTGGAATGGAGCCCGAGAGCTGGTTGTTGTTGAAAACGCTGCGTGGCGCAAGCAAGGCAAGAGGTGTAAAGCTGAAACTGGCATGCATGTAGCACAGGGAGACTGGTAGCATGTAGCAGAGACTGGGAGTGCAACGTGCACCCACGCTGCCAGTAACACCTGCTGCTGCTGTTGTGTGGTGATTTCTGTCACATGGCATGGCAGCATGCCACGTGATGGCATGCCGTCTCAGCAGACAAATCCACGGCAAATCTGTTGCACACTGTGCATGTATCCCACTGCGAATATCATGCTACACACTATCATGCTACACACTATCATGCTACACACTATCATGCTACACACTATCATACTACACACTATCATGCTACACACTATCATGCTACACACTATCATGCTATCATGTTCCACACTATCATGCTACACAAGCTGATCATCCTGTTGCAAGTGCCATAGATTACGGATATCGTGCTATTACATTGAATCGAGAGTGGTTAGAGTGGAGATAGAATCGGGCATCGATCCTGTGAAGTTGTTGTTGCTGAGGTCCCTGAAAGAAACCACACATGCAATGTAAGGGTTGAGTTGAGGGATTATGAGAGGCACCAACATCAAGTCAGTCAGTTAAACGGCACATTTCCTCCTCTTATATAACCTTCATGTACACCTCCTAGTTACACCTCATGATTGTCATGGGTTCCACATTCTAACCATTGTTCGCTGGTTTGCCTACTCGACCTTGTCCACAGGGCCTACTCAGTGAAAGGACCATTAGAGGGAGAAAGAGAAAGGGGCTGACATACAGGCTCCTGAGGCTGACATTTCAGCGAGAAAAATTTGGTAAGGTGCCTGTAAGGCCGTTCCCCTCCGGAGCATTACAGGACAGCAAAGAACAGAGCAAACAAAGGCAGGGCACCAGAGTGACAGGGAGCGGCAGGGATATACACCAGACGTACAGGGTCCTAAGGCTGACATTCCAACGAGCAAAATTTGGTAAGGTGTCTTGTAAGGCGGTTTCCCTCCAGAGCACTACAGGACAGGAGACAGGAGTAGAAACAATGGGAGAGCACAAGAGAGGCAAGAATCAAAGAGGGGTTAATACCGAAGCGAGTGGGCACACGAAACTACAGGAAGGGCATGTGATGGGATGGTTGCAGTGCAGCGCAGAGGCATACAACTTCTCCTTATGGGACGGGAAACATGCACTGCACGAACGTGGTACTCAGGTTCTCCTAATAGGCAAAACCTGTGTCTTTTGAGTTGACTCAACAAACAAGCACAACTCGAATGTGGGACTCAGGTTTTTATGATAGGCAAACCCTGCTGCGCTTGTGAAAGCTCGTGAAAGTGCTGAAAGCATGTGGCAGTTCTCCCAGGAGTTCAAGAGTAGGTGATGCATTGAGCGGCACTGGAAGAACACCCGAGAAGAAGTTGTTCCCCACTTGCCTGCAGCAGGGCGACATGGGAGAGGGGAGAGGGGAAGGAGGGGGGGTGATGGTGGGGGGTTATGGTATAGGATATAAGAGGTTCACGCAAGCGCTGTTATTGTTCTTGTTTATATTTCCTCTGAGATGCCACTTCAAGAATCAAACCAAGACCCCTTGTTCCCACCTCCCCCCGGTCGCCTGTCACCCCGTCCTCCACCCCATCACCTAAAATCCTGTTTCTATCCATCTGTTCCCTACCTCAGCCTCTGCCCCGCACACACACACACATCCCACCCATTTCTCTTTGACTTTTGAGACGTCTCAAAAGTTGTCTACAAACACCCCCCCCCACCCCTTCCTCTTTGACTTATTGTCGTCCCTTTCCCAACAGAGATCTGACCATTGATTTGGAGGGGACTCTTCCATCCCTTCCATCTCACCAGGCTCTCTCACCTGTACATGCCTTTTCCATGAATTTTCATAGTCTCAAAGTTCTTGCTGCCGTGCTGATGGGTGTTCATCTCTTTCATGATACTCCCTACCTTCCACGCCTCTCCTTGGTTACAATGGGTCACAACGCATTCTCCTGTGCCCTTGTGCCAACCTTTTCACCATTCACTGTCCTGCACACTTGCTGTTTTTTCCCCCGTTTCCCCCTTCTTCGCCCACCCACTTTCCCCCATTCATTTCTCTCCCTTGCGCTCATTTTCTGCTTTGCTTCCCGCAAACCTGCTGCATTTTCCCTGCCTCCCGCCCATGCACCCCACATGCCACTCAACCCTTGTCTCTTACAATCCATTCGCCCCCGTTGTCTCTGACAACCCTCGTGCTTCTTCTCCTAGGCTCATTGGGACAGATGGCTGCCAGATGACTGGCACTCTTGATGGACTGGCATGGCTCGCCTCCCTTTCGAATCTTCGCACACTGTACGACACGCACACACTTTGTATGACATGATGACACGCATGTACTGTCTATGGCATGCGACATACATGCATCGTGTATGACATGATGACACGCATGCACTGTGTATGGCATGATGACACGCATGGACTGTGTATGGCATGATGACACGACACGCATGCACTTTGTATGACATGATGACACGCATGCACTGTGTATGGCATGATGACATGCATGCACTGTGTATGACATGATGACACGCATGCACTGTGTATGGCATGATGACATGCATGCACTTTGTATGACATGATGACACGCATGCATTGTGTATGACATGATGACGCGCATGCACTGTGTATGACATGATGACGCACATGCACTGTTTATGACATCATGACGTGAATGCTCTGTGTGCGACAACGTGCATGCATCATGCCTCTTGCTAGCCCTTCTGCCTTCCTGCATGGACCCGCCCGCCCACTCAGATATCTTCAAGACTCAGAATTCCCCTTCTTTATGTGCTTGCATCGCATGCTCCTCTTGCTCTTTTCTCCCATCCCAATGCTCCTATTGCTCCCGTCACTCCCGTCACCTTTGCATTTTTTAGCACTGCAACCCTCATCGCCTTCATGTTCTGTAATGGATTCAGCAGCAGCAGTGTGGTTGCAATTCACACACTCTCCCCCACTGCTGCTCCCACCACCCACAATCAGGGCTTTCGCCGACCTACCAAATTTCACAGGGGACTTGTCTTCCCTTGCAATACTATCTCGTCTGGAAAGGCTTCAGCATTTGTGAGCACCAGAACAGATCAGCACTGCACTCAAAACCACGGATTTTGCAGCCTGCTGCTGAGAATTGTCAGAAAACAGCTTGCAAACACAACGGCGCATTCAATACCATCTGCATCTCATCTCACCTCACCTCACCTCACCTCTCGTGCGTCCATTCATTCATATGCACCTCTCTTGCCTGCCTTCATTCACCCATCCTTGCACCCACCCACCCGCTCGCCAACTCTCCCTCATCGGTGTGTGCACTCTGCTGTTCTGCTGCTCTGCTGTAAAAACCGTCTGCAGGACACTCAGTGGCATTTCCAATGCTATAGGGGAGATTCCCAGGGAGATTCGGTTCTTGACTGCCCTCACTTCTCTGTACGCACACACATACCCCCATGTGCAACCTCCCCCTAACCTCTCTCCTCCCCAACCTTTCTTTTGTTTCTTGGAGCCAACCTGCAACAAGTTTCTGTACTTCGCTTTGCCTGCTTTGCTGTGCTTTGCTAATCTGTGCTGTTGTGTGCTGAGTGCACTACGCGCTGTGCACTGCAAGGCTCTGTGGTGCTGTACATGTCCCTCTCCCCTTTTCACTGTAATTTTGAGACGTCTCAAAACACTTCTTCATACACTGCAAGGCTCTGTGGTGCTGTACATGTCCCTCTCCCTTTTTCACTGTAATTGCCTCCTCCCCCCCTTTTCACCACACACCCAGTGACCTGTCATACCTTCGTGCCTTGGACTTCCCTAGCTGGGTCACTCAGCTCTCCAACCTTCAGTACCTGTGAGCTCCTCCTCCTACTCCTCTTCCTCTTACTCCTCCTCTTCCTCCTCCTCCTCCTCCTCCTCCTCCTCCTGCTCCTCCTCCTCCTCCTCCTCCTCCTCTTCTTCTTCTCTCTTCTTTCTTTTCTCTTCCCTCTTGTTCCTGCTTCCATCACTCCATTCTGGCCGGAACGCCTTTCCCTCTGAATCCACCCCCCACCCCCTTCCTACACCGTTTATGGAACATGGAACTGAATGTGTTAGAGCCTGAAAGGCCTCCCATCCCAGTTTCAACCTTTACTGACTTTGACACATCTGCCCATGCCTCTGTGCCCGTGTTTGTGCCTCGGTCTGAGCTTCTAAATCTCTCTGATCTCGTGCCTCTCTGCCTGTGGTTGTGCCCCTCTGCCTGTGTGTGTGCCTCTGTGCCTGTTCTGTGCCTGTGTGT